TTAAGTTGTTAATTTTCTGACAGCTTTGGGGGAAAATGTGACAAAAAATGTGTCCTGAGTTTTGGTTGGGGTACATTGTACGGCAAAATAAATAAATAAACAAATAAATAAAAGGAAAAAAAAGATTACTTAGCCAGCTCAGGATATCTACAGTTCAGACGTACTTCACAACAGAAATATTATTCAAAGTTGAAATGAGACCAATAAAGTACGATCTGGCATTTTGATGTCTTTTACAGTTTTTACCCGGTCATAGTTTAAAGGGAAATGTGCGAAATACACTTTTTTAGCCCAAAAATTCATTTTGTTGTGCTCTTTAGGAGTGCAGAAAATTAGAATTTAGTCTCACCTGGTGCTGTGTAGATATCTTTATATTCTGTTTGGGTCATATTTTTCAGTCTATTCAGTTTTCTGTAGTCCCCATTACGTATTTTTTAAACAATACTATGTCACAGAATTTGCTGTAGAATGGCTAAATAAGGTCGTGGACTTCCAGCTAACCACTTTTGCAAATCAGTGGTTCTGCAGATTCCTGGTCTTCATTTTCTCTTTGCTCTGGGCCAGACCCTGGTTCCAACATCTAAGATTGGATGGACAAGTATTTTGTTGTTGATACATTTAAATCTATTTGTAAATAAAAAGTTCCTTCTCCGCTGGATAACCGTAACTCTACCAAACTACAAAAATGGCCAAACAAGATGGAGGGGACAGTGATCATTGGGAGTGAGACCTGGAAGGAGGGCAGGGGTTAAAACACCTCATTTTTATTTAAAGAGACAGCATCAAAAAGAGTTGCTCTCAAATGCACACCAGAACAGGGTTGAAAGAGGGGCTTGTGGAGTTACAATAAGGAGGAATTCAGATCAACACATTGCAGTTCCACTTTATAAAGACCCCAAACTGAATGATTTAAATATAAAAAAATAAGAATTTAAAGGCATGTCTCCTTTAAGTTTTATAAATTCTAGAAATCTTATTATGGAAGGTTCATGTCATGATGTTTTTATGAACTCCTCTTATTCTTATAGTCTGAACCTTTCTCAAACAAAGGTAAAACAAAAAGATTTGTGTTTCTCGCTATGGTTTTCTCTCCATTTCCCCCAAAAGTGCAGACAGAGTGTGCACATCTGAGCTTCCATAGCCCTCCACTGTATGAACACAGACTTTCCTATTTAAGTGTAGAGTTTGCCATATTTCCTACATAAAACACTGTACAAACTTAAAAATTGACATGTGTGACAACCAGATGGTGACAAGGTTTACCTTGTAGTTTATGTTGCTTTTGTCTTTTCTCATTAAAAGTGTGTGGTTACCACGGTGACAAAGGATATCTTGCCTCAGATTTAACATTTCTTTTAGTCTCTTTACTCTTAGCACAAAAAGTAGGGAAATTTGTGTTTAGTATTTTTTTTATTTGTTGCAGCAATGCTTGGCAATAAATCTTATACTGTTGGAAAGACTGGTAATTTCCATTTTAAATGGTGCCACATTTGTAAGGAACATGCTTTTGCAGGATGAGCAGTAGAGCTGAGCATGTGGGTTGTGCGCCTGAAAAATTAGCCAAATCTTCTCTACAAACAGCTTATTTTGCTGTTGCTATTGAAAAGCTTCTGGTACCGCAGGTGCTGCCGATCAGGTGCTGTTCATTGTCAAGAAGCCTTGTTACAACTAATGAATGATTTCTTTACTTTTTGTGCTAAGATTAATTTATACTTCCAGGTATCTGCATTTTGTCAGCTTGGATTATTATAAAAGGAAATCCCATAATTTAGCTTTAAGTTTGAAGCTTGATCTAGATTGGTATTCTTCAGAATTTTCTAGTTAATATTTATTTATGCGCTTGAAGACATGTTGGAAAATGACTGTGTATTTTTTTAAATGATGTCTTCTTGTTTTTAGCTTGACGACATAACTCCCTACCATTAAGCAAGAATAAACACCGCTCCATAACGCTACTGAGCAAGTGTGTGTGTGATTGTTCCTTTATTGACCACCAAACATGTGAAGTCACCAGAAACTCCTCCATCAGTCCGTCACATTCAGAAGAAGCCTTCCCCCCAAATGATGCCACACAGTGACAGCTCATAGTAGCCGATCACAGGCTGGTGATAACATGTTCACACACACATACGTGCACACACAGCACTCCTGCTCCCTTTTGGCTCTAGCCTGACATCTAGTGACTCAGGCTGTAATGGGAGCTTCCATGACACATGCATGTGAACATGATGGAGCTGTGGATGAAGAGAAGTGTGCGCTTTTGTTGTTGCAGGAACATGTTTATTCCACCCCCCACCCCCCCCACCCCCACCCCCACGTGGGCTGCAGGTACACAACGTTTAGCTAAACCCTAATGATGGCCTTCCAGGGGTCTGGTTCACCACAGCTGGCCGGTGTGGAAAATAAACAAAACAACAAGCCGGACTCTGTATGTTGCTGCTGCCTCCTGTGTCATATGATGATGTCATACGATGCCTGCTGGTGTTATCATGATTTCACCCCAAGCTGCCTTCCTGCAGCCTGACTGACACAACATGTTGTGGCTGCTCTTTGTGTTTCTCAGCATTTCCCTGCCACCAACACATTACACATAATCTAATTTTAGTCAGCACTTAAAACTCGTGGTTTTTAGGGTTCATCCCTGGAAGAACATTTAAGTATGTTCTTTAAGAACACACTCAGACACTAACTTCCAGTAGAGTCTGGCAAGAATGAGGTCAGACACATGGGTTCTTATAGTGCATTATTATTATGTTTTATTATTGTTGCCGTTTTTTTTTAATTCACCCAATGGAAGGCGAGGGGGGCGTGGCCCAGGAGAAAAAATCAGATGGAGACAGGCGCTGATTGGGCGCCATGGCTCGCCATGAGGGTATAAAAGGGCCAGGCTCGGGTTGTTGTGTTTACAGTAATATCACAGAGCAGCACAGGAAACAGGGAGACTATGAGAAAGCGCAGCCGCTCCATTCAACCACATGGTTCCTGCACCGCACAGACCAGCTGCGCTGAACACATCCAGGTTCACTTGAGAGACTGTTGCTGCTGCCCACAACGGCAAGTTTCAAGCTTCCCAGGGAGAGTTTTCAGCCGCACAGGCAGCTGAGAGTTCACTAGTTGCTGATTCTGAGGGGGGAAAAGTCTCTGAAAAGAGGCAGAGAAGAAACTTGGATGAACTTTTTTATGTGTCTCCAACATCTTCCAAGTCAGTGAGGATTTTTATTTTTTAGTTTGTTTGTTTCTGCCAAAAGATCTGGTTTTGAAGTGAAGAGTTTCCAGACTTCAGGAGGGAGAGATGGTGCAGCACATGAGCCAGACGGAGAGCGCCCACGCGCACTCTCCCGGCGGGGACTCCACGGACACTGGAGATATCATGGACTTGGAGATGGACGCGTCTCCGATCTCGGAGTCCCCCACGTCCCGGGAGCGGAGCGACTTGGCGTGGTGCAAAACCCCGACGGGCCACATCAAAAGACCCATGAACGCCTTCATGGTGTGGTCCCAGATCGAGAGGAGGAAGATCATGGAGCAGTCACCGGACATGCACAATGCGGAGATCTCCAAGCGGCTCGGGAAGCGCTGGAAGCTGCTGAAGGACACGGATAAGATCCCGTTCATCCGCGAGGCGGAGCGGCTCCGGCTCAAACACATGGCCGACTACCCGGACTACAAGTACCGTCCCAGGAAGAAAGTCAAGTCCGGGAGCGGAGCGAGCGGCAAGCAGGCGGAGAAGAGCGCGGAGCGCGGCGCCAAGAGCGGCGTGAAAAGGAGCCCAGCGTCCAAAGGAGGCAGCAGGACGCACAGGCAGGGGGGCAGCAGCAAGAGCGCTCCGGGGCAGGACTCTCCCGCTGACCACCAGTCCCTCTTCAAATCCAGGTCCGGGGCCAGGCAGATCCCGGACAGGCGCGCGGGAGGAGAGCCGAGGCGCGCGAGTCTCTTCAGCCTGGAGAGCGGACCCCCCTCCGTGGGGGTCCCGGCCAGTCCCACCCTGAGCAGCTCCGCGGAGTCCAGCGACCCGCTCAGCCTGTACGAGGAGCAGAGCCCGGGTTCCACCGCGCGCCTCAGGTACGCTCGCGCGTCCTCGCCGACTCCCTCAGCCTCCCACTCTTCCTCATCCGTGTCCTCCTCTTCCTCCTCCTCGGATGAGGAGTTCGAGGACGAGCGGCTTGATTTGAACCCGAGTCCTGGCTTTGAGGGCATGTCTCTGGGCGGCATGGGCTTCTCCGACGCAGAGCTGGATCGGGACTTGGACTGGGGCTTCGGGGAGGGCGGGGCAGGGTCTCACTTCGACTTCTCCGACTACTGCACCCCGGAGGTCAGCGAGATGATCTCAGGTGAGTGGCTGGAGTCCACTATCTCCAACCTGGTGTTCACCTACTGACTCAGACACAGCCGGAGCGGGGCGCCTTTACGCAGCCCCCACTCCCACGTTTGAACTCACCTAACCCCTCCAGGACAGGCGGACCAGAAGAGTTTCTTTCGCCAAATAAAGGAGAGTGGAGGGGGGAGAGAAACAGAAAAGAATAGGTGGCCTGAGCGAGCGCCGCTCAAAGACTTGGACAGCGCTCCGTGCGCGTGACGGGAGGAAATGCTTAGTTTGCATTTGGACACAGGAGGAGGAAGAGGAGGAGGAGGAGTGAATGTAAGCAACGAGACTGGAGCGCTGATGTTGAACCTCAATCCGCACAGGATGAGGTCAAGACTGAACTTTGATTTGGGTCGTGGGAGGGGAGGTGAGGGAAACTTTCTGGAGAGCGCGCCATGTTTGGTTCTGTTTAGCCAACTCACACTGACCATCAAAGTTGTTATTCAGGTGTAATGTTTCCCTCCAAGCTAAAAAAAAAAATCCCAACACCCTCCTGATACCAGAAACTACTTTATCCAATGCGTAAAGTTGCTGCGTAATTACGCAATTTGTAGGGCAAAAGGACAATTCACGATCACCAGCTTCTTTCTGAACGGCAGGACTTCAAATAAAGACTCCGAAACTTCAGAAAACCTTTCTGTAAAAATAATAATGAAAAAGATAATAAAAAGAAAAGAAACACTCAGTGCACAGTTCAGGACCAATGTGTTTCCCGGATTCTTTCTGCCTTCAACTTTGTAGGTTTTTCTCTGTCAGATTTGTTTTTATATCGATGTATTTATACCGGCCAAACTTTTTTATACATAAGAAGTATTGTTCTCGTACAGGTCTTGTTTGTGTTCGTGCACGCGCGCGCGCACACACACACACACACACACACACACTTGTCTGTATCCAGCGCTGGAAGGGCTAGAAGTGTATCTTACTTAAAAAACAACAACAACAACAAACGTCTGACTTCTCTCTCATGTTTAAGGAGATTTGAGTGTGTCATGGTTTTCTACTTGTATTTTTGTACAAAATCTATACGAAAAAGCAAAAACAGAAGAAAAAGAGGGGAGGGGTTTGTTTCTGGCCTACAACATTGTTGTTTGCATCATTGGTGTTTAGAAGTGCAGATTTGAGGGGGGGTGTTTGGCACAATCTGACCTCACACAGTGTTTACAGTATTTACCCACATGCTTCTTAATGGCACAGTGACTCCAGTTTCACCAGCCGAGTAAACAAAGCACCGCTGAGGTCCCCAATCTGAGTGGTGGCTGTGTTTCCACTCCACACACACAGAGAGAGCTAAAAGTTTCTGAGAGAGTTACTGTTTGGATAGAGCTAATACCTCTGTGTGATTTTTTTTGTTCTTTTTATTTTTATTTATATCAAGATAAGTTTTATTTGAACCACTGGATGGACTTTCACACTCATTCCACTTTGCCTAAACTTTGGAAGGAGGGAGATGTATGAAGTGTTTCATCTGTTATTGCGCAAAAATTGCATAAAAAACTAGTATTTAATCTTTTCTGTACCTGTTGGCTAGCAGGCTAATTGTTTTCCTATATTATGGCATGGCAAATAGCATTTGTATTTCAGATTCAGGTATATGTAGCTCTAGCTGTTGTGTTTAAGATTTTTAAAAGAATAATAACATTAAGATATTTATGTAAATTGACTGTACTATAAGCAAAGATTGTGTGTTTTTTATGTAAGATGATCAACGACAGGCACTAGGACAGCCATCTTTTCGACTTGTTGAAGATGATTGTGGTTGAGGAATTTCTTCATTTTATTTTTTTCCTAAAGAAAAAAAAGAAATAACTTCCAGAAAAAAAGTTTATTTTATTTTATTTTATTCCCTTCATTTGTGCAATATGTTGTGTTTGATAATGTTTTGTACACTCATGCCAATATCATTTGATGTCTTTTTTGCTCAAAACCAGCCAATGTTTGGGTCAATCACTGCCTCTCAGACCTCTGTACAGATTGTTATAAATTTTTTTCTTTTTTTTTTCCAAGAAGGAAATAAAATCAGCTGGAACTGACTTGTGCAATGTTCTTTCCCTTAATTGAGCCAATAAAACTGCAATATTATTTCACACAATTATAGAAAATAACAAGAAAGGGGTCTTTTAAAAACAAAGTAAAAAGTCCCAATTTCCTGAAAATCTGATGTCAGATGTTTACTTTTTTTGTTTGCGTGTGTGTGTATGTGTGAGCTCGTGGCAGTGAGTGTGAATCGATAGGAGTGGCTTCTCTCTCTAATGCCGTCTGATTGTGCACGTGCAGAAAACGTGGCTGCCATGGAAACGCTGTATCCAAGAGAGAGGGTTGCAATCCGCTGGGGATAAGCATGACAGTTTTGTGTGTGTGTGTGTGTTTGTGTGTGTGTGAGAGAGAGAGAGAGAGAGAGAGAGAGAGAGAGAGAGAGAGAGAGAGAGAGAGAG